CCCGGGCGTGGCTATAGGGAAAACCCTATGCGCCGTTCTCTACGTCATAATGTCGATGGTTCGCACAGGGTTGCGACATTGAACGAGGCAGTGGGCCAGCCCAATTGTTGGCGAGTTATCTTTCTCTGTAGAGTATTTCTACCGGTTTTGGGAACCTTCTAGAAGGTTCTTGAACCTGGGTTTTTTTTCTGTTTTTCTATTTCTGGTGTTTTCCAGGTTTTATTTTTTCCTTTTTTCCTTTTTCTTTCTTTTTTTCATTTCTCCTGTTTCTTTTTTTTTCCTTTTTTCGTTTTCATGTTTATTTTGTTCACAAATTTCAAAAATTGTTCTTTTATCCTAAAGTTTTTCACATTTTCTGAAAAATGTTTAGGAATTTCAAAAAGTGTACTCTTTTTTAAAATTTGTTTACATTTTCCAAAAAAGTTCAGGAAATTCAAAAAACGTTCTTGTTTTCAAAATTTTGTTCACAATTTCAGAAAATGTTGGCATTCTCAAAATTTTGTTCACGATTTCAAATATGTTCACGTTGTAAAAATGTTCTCATTTAGAAAAATTGTTCAAATTTTTTAAAAAATGTTCATCTTTTCATTATTTTTCAGGAGTTTCCAAAAAAAATCCTGTTTCAAAAATTGTTCATAAATTTTAAAAAATGTTTAGCTTGTGTTAAAATTGTTTCAAATTTGAAAAATATTCAAATTAAAAAATTGTACGTGAGTGAAAATTTTGACCATAAATTCAGGAAATTTTCAATTTTTTTAGAAAATGTTCATGTTTCAAAAAATGTCCTTGTTTTAAAACAATTGTTCACAAATATCAAAAAATGTGTGTGTTTTCATTTTTTTTAGGAGTTTCGAAATTGTTCAATTTCAATTTTCTTCACAGATTTCAAAAAATGTTCGGGGGGTTCTATACATGTTCCCGTTTCCAAAAATTGTTCGCAAATTAAAAAAATGTGCATGTTTTCATTTTTTTAGGAGTTTTGAAATTTTTCAGTTTCAAATTTTTGTTCACAATATTAAAAAAATGTTCTTATTTTCACATTTTTCTAAATATGTTCGCATTTTTCAAGTTACGTCTTGGAATTTCCAAATATGTTCCCAATTCAAAAAAAAATTCCTGATTTCCAGAATATTTCAGTTTTAAACTTTTGTTCGCAAATTAGCAATTTGTTTGTGTTTCTGTGATCCCTTCGTTTTTTTCAATATAAAAGTGCCTTTGAAATTTAAGATATAATTTTGATCTGCGCTGTGTGTTGTTTCTTTAAGAATGTCGCTGCTATATAATCTGTAACGTGTGGTAGGGATGTCTCAAAAAAAAAGTAACGAGTGGTAGGTCAACTGGTAGTACCACCTCGGTTATACCATATACCATAAGGTCGTGGTTTCGAATTCCTGCAACGGCGTTGTTTTTTTGGCTACAGCGCGCTTTCGTCCCCTGTATTCATGGGCTGGCCCATTTGGACACCCGTCTGTGCGAAACGGCGTCTGTTTGCCACAGCAAGCGGCGAATAGGAACTCCCTGGCTATAGCTCGCTTTTAGCGAGTTGGAAGGACGGATTGCCTACAGTGCTTCTGTATATGGGCCAGGCAGCCCATTGCGCTAGGGAGTCCATGACTCTCCTCCCTCCCACGGGCAAATCACATGTACATGCCTAAAAAAGAATGTACGTGTTATTATTCCTCTCTTTCAATTTTTTTTGTTTTCTATATTATTACAAAATATAAATACAAATATTCCAAAAATTTAATTATGTTCATTGTGAATTTGAAAAAACATAGACGATTTTTTTGTAACAGTTACTGTAAAGAAATATTCACAACATTTAAAAAGTGTTCATGACATTTAAAATATCTTCATGCGTTTGAAAAACTGTACGTGATATTTTTATTTTATTTTCAAAATGTTATACAATGTAAAAAATGATTGTGTAATTCAATTTTTTTTGCGTAATTGTAAAATACTATGTTTTAGGTGTATATGAAGAACTTACAATGTTTATGGAAAAATAGACATCAAAGCATGTATTTGAAAGAAAATGGTAGTCATGTATTTGAAAAATGCTGTACACGTATTTGAACTAACATACTACATAGTACGTACCCTATAGATGATTAGGCAATGAATGGCAAAGAAAAGCGAGAACAATAATGTGTTCACATTTTTTTCATGATTATTTCAGTAGACTAATAATCTCTTAAAACTATCTAATTTTTTTCCTTACCATGCCAATAATCATCTAGTGTGCTTCAGTTTTTCAAAAAAAGAACATCTACTGTGCTTCAACTTGGGTTTCTTCCTAAACACTATAGTGGCTAATCTAAGTAATGACATGTATAGAGATCAAAAGTAGTGCAAATATTGAAACAAACTTCTACATGTAAACAATAATCACTTTTAAAAAGCTGTTGCTTTAGAATGTATATACCATTGTTCTTTGCTTCAGCATTACACATGACCAGAGACAACCAGTGCCATGGGGTAACAGCACCAAGGCTTACACAGACCATGTACTGCTACTGCACACACACAGACACAACCTTTACGTCGCCGGATCAAAGAAGTGACCAGAGACAGTGCACCAGTGCAGCAGTAACAGTCAGCAAAGCAAGTCATCCTGTAGAGACCATCACTGTCCCCTGCCTGACTTGACACCATCTCGCTTCGCTTGCTTAGAGACTCAGAGTCAGCCTGTAGGTACCCACATCCTGCCACATGTGTCCACCAGTTCAACAAACATCCTAGTACTACAGTACTACAAAATTTGAAAACAACAACTTTTTTAAATTTAGTGTTTGAATGTCTTCCCTATTATCAGCATACATGTTACTCAGAATTTAGTTTACTATAAATGCTAGGCCAAACCAGAGTCGAAAGTCACCTACAGGAAACAAAATTTGCACCGCAGGCAACAGTTAGCTAGTTGATAAAAAAAATGAACAGTAATGCATAAGAACAAGTTACAGCCACGACAAGATTTTTGCTCTGTGTAACACTAGGCAAATTGAAGATGAGGTCCTGAAACAAGTAATCAACGGATCCTGATACAAGATATTAGAGACTTGTTGACTGCAACAAGTAAATGAACAAATCCTGGAACAAGTGATCGTACAACTGAAAGGCGTTATCAAGATTCAGCATTTGGTTCGAATGATTCTTTGATGAGCAAGAATCTGAATGAGCACGTAGCATAATGACACAAATACAGCTAAGTGAAAGGCATTGTTTCATTTCAACTCGGACATGACAAATATTGCATACCTCAACCTCCTTAAGGAATTCGAAAGTATGCGTCAATTACCTCATTTTAAATTGTAAGATCTTGCATTGACATAAAACAGAAGAAACAGGGCTGAAGATGCAGACATACAAATACTCTTTCTTAAAATGCTAGCTGTAAATTGTTGAACAACTGCCAGTAGAAAACTATGCAAAAGCCTCAAGTAGTCCAGTCATATATTCTGAATTTAGAATTTCGCCATAGGCGCTAGCTTTCGCCAAGCAGGTGCCTCCTTTTTCTGCAATGTCCAGAGCTTCAGATATTATAACCGCACATAAATACTCGAAGTACGTACAACAGAATTGATGATTCAGGCCAAAACAGCATTAGAAATGTACTGCTAACAGTATGTCACACAAATATCTTAACTTAGAAATGGCGAAACACCAAGTCGATACCTATACAGATCACATCATACAATTCCTATCGAAGAATGTATGCTCAGAAGTTTGTATCATACATTCCTACTTATTCGTTATCTTCTGTTTCTTGCCATGCTAAGAAAATAGATATTTCTGACAGTAATTAGAGAACATTAAATATATCAGTCCATTCTTAAAGATGAACAAGAACAATAGAGTACCCAGAGTATCCAGCGCTACCATGCAGCCATCTACCGAGTAGTTCATACTGGTCTAAAGACAAATGTTCACACTCGCTGCCGTTGGTAGCCTGACTGCATGACCATGAGAATATCCGTGTCTCTCAGCAAGTGAAGCGAGATGGTCAGACAAATGTTTTGTTCACACACAGGCTTGGTGCACGGTCATGAGAATATCCAATCATATGAGGCGTGCCGGTGACGTCAGGTCTCAGGCACAGAACTGACTGACAGAAATATGTAACCAAACACTGACATAGTAAACTTAATCCAGCTAAAAAGAAATCTGCAAGTAATCCAATCTTAAGAAGAGCAACCAGATGAAATAACACATTAAGCTTCAACAAAAAAGCTCAAATCACAAAGCATCAACTAGACGAGGATGATAACACCAAGCGAAACATCAACTTGACGCTAATAATTCAGTTTGACAAGTAATGACCACTGACCACGATAGGTTTTCTTCTTCTCCCAAACATAACCACTGACCCAAGGTGTTCGCCGACAGGTCAAAATGATGCACTTCTTACCATCCCACTGCTTGTTTTTCTCCAAAATATTAGCATGTCATGTCAAATCCTGCAAAGGAACAACAGAACGAACAGTTCAGTATATGAGACTCTGGATCATACCCAAAAAAAGCACTCCGTAACAGAATGTGGCAAGAAAGAAACAACATCAGTAGCGACACTGGCTCACAGGCAAAAAAAAAATCACCATAATTTGCCAAAAACAACAGAATCAATTTCGGCACTGAAACTATCCCAGGCAAAAAAAAAAACACTTGTAAAATGTGCAAGAAACAAAAGAAGCAACAATAATAAATTTGTATGTACAGTGCAGTGTGAGTTGGAAAGATTGGATTTTGTATAGAATGCATTTCAATATTCACATTCAGAATTCCCCAGGAGAGACAGTTAGCCGCTCATGGAAAGACATAAATCTGCTTGATCAGGCATTACAGAATTATGCACTGAAATTCAGCTACTTATATAATTTTTATTTTGGATAAGAATCACAAGGTTGGATTTGAAGATAGAAAATGGTAGTCAGACAAACCTGAGGTGATAGCTGAGGAGCTTCATTCAACTGGGTCCCAGTGGCTCCATGTCAGCAAGGAACTCATGCTCTGGGAGATTCTTCGCTGGCTAAGTCACAATCTAGCTGGTGAGTTCCATGCTGTGGCGGGATGGATATGCAAATTCAGTTAAATCTAAAAATGAGGAAAACTGGCGCGATTACTATGCTGAGAAACTAGACGCTTTTGTCCTGCCCATACACTTGTGTGGATGACCTGCAGATTATAAACCATTTTAATTCAAGTCAGTCTTCCAAATTGTGATGCTTCGCAGTTATGCCATAATTGCAAGAAAACTAGAGCTAAAAGCAAAAGAAAGGGAACAAACCTTCAGAAATAGTTGGTTGACCAGTTCTTGGATTGAAAATAAAGATGGCACCATTGATTGGTTTGGTCGTCAGGTTACCCTCGAAGGTTTTGTGAATGGTATCTCGGTAGACATTTATGTCATCCACAAGCCGTATGATTTGATTGCTGAATATCTCTCCGTAGTTCTGTGAATACACATATGGCTCGGTGGGTTCAGATGAATACAACTGAAGACCCTTTCTTATTCTCTCCCTCAGCACATACAGAGCAGGATTTGACTGTCAAAAGAGAAAATAAACAAGCATGTCATTTATTAAATAAGATTTTTTTTACTACAACAGAGATATTGCCATAATGCTAGATTTGCTACAGTTAGCATGGTTATTACCTTCATGATTTTGTTCATTGCTTGCTGGAGGAGGGGCTTTGACCCGGGGCCAAGGAACCAGTTAATATTCTAGCTGAACCTGGAAAGTGGAAACCAACATATACGTGTGCACGATTAATGCATGGTTGGCGACCACCAGAGGGTAAATCTTCTGCTGGGGATTTGATTAAGCCCAGAACGCTGTGCCTTTGTCAGCTTTTGGTACTTGATTGATTCCTCAAAACCTGAAACCTTCTCCCAAAACAAACCCTCCCAAATAGGGAAATACAGTAGTATGTTCCCTTAAATAAGGTATGTTCCAGGATACCTTCCACACCACCCAGTGCTTGGATGACGTCAGTTCTGTAGTTGTTCAGACTCCATAGCTTTCCATCATGTCACACTAGAATGGGTTCTGTTTCAGCACTTCATACTGCTTAAGGTCATGGGCCAAAGTGTGGCGGTCTTTCTGGAATAGTGTTGATACGGGGTATGTCTCTATCCCATGAATCTTCAAAGCATGCATACTCAGCCCAAATTGTTCCAAGATTAATTAAAGATCTATTTATGCACCAATGCAATAATCATCATGCTCACCTACTAAACCTAAAATCTCATAATCCACCGAACATCTTTGACTACCTCCTCAAAAGTCATATCAACTAAAATTCACCTGAAATCTCATAATCTAACCTGAAATTTGGGTCAAAATCACAATCACCTAACTAAATCCAAATTGTCCAAGACTAATTGAAAGATCTATTTATCCACTAATATAATAATCATCATCCTCGCCTACTAGACTTAAAATTTAATAATCCACTAAACATCTTTGACTATCTTCTGAAGATCACAATCACCAAATTAAATCCACCTAAAATCTCATAATTCTCCATGAAATTTGGTCCAAGATCACAATCTCACAAACTAAATCCAAATTGTTCAAAGATTAATTCAAGATATTTTTATCCACCAATGTAATACTCATCATGCTCACCTATTAGACCTAATATCTCATAATCCACAGAACAAGTTTGACTATCTTCCCGAGACCCCAATCTAAAATCCAACTAAAATCTCGTAATCCACCATGAAATTTGGTTCAAAATCACAAATTCACAATCGCCTAACTAAATCCAAATTGTTTCAAGATTAATTAATTATATTGTTATTCACAAATATAATAATCACCATGCTCACCTACTATACCTAAAATCTCAAAATCCACCGAACATCTTTGACTATCTTCTCAAGATCACATCTACATTACCAACAAACTATCTCATTTTCCAATCCTAACTCCTCAAAACAACTTAAGTATGACACCACCCAACTAAGTGTGTGTTGCGGGCTTAAGAATGTAACATGATTGACTCATACAATCACTATTTCATGATGGGCTTTATTTCAGGCAATAGTTGTTTGTGCTTAAGCGGTGCTCTTGCAATTCCGTAAGTTAAGCACATTGATATAAGTCTATCCTATCACAACCTTGATAGCTAGGATGGGTTTTCTTGGGCTAGGTTTGGTTTAGAGAAAGGCTTAAGCTTGAGTGAGGAGAAACTCTGACTAAGTTGCACTTGGTACAGTTAAAGATGCCGGCCTTTGCATCTTGAATGTATTTTAGTGTTGGCGTATACAATTTGAACAATCGGACAAAGCTTTCCTTAAGAACGATGCTAGTATATTGTCCACTTGATGGTATATGCTCCCCCGTGATCGATATTTTAAAAGTTGGGTCCAAAATTTTGATCTATATTATCTTAAGTGATGTGATACAAAACACTGGGTGAGGTTGCTTAGAAAGATCGCTCAGCGGCAGTCTTCGCTTCAAGTTGCTTGCTCTTCGATGAGATTGCTTCACTGAACCGAGGCACTCGATGGCATAACTTCTGACATATAGCTTTAGCAAGGACAAGAATTGAGATTTCGCAGTAAGTTGGTTAGGGGTGGGGGTCGATGTGTGGTTTTCTTTGCAGAGACCCCGTTTGATGGATGACTTTATTTTAAAAGCTTCTTGGAATCTCTTACAGGTTTGGAGGTCAACTTTGTACCTTTATCTGCAACAACCTTCTTGGGAACTTTGTGGAGACTTCAAATCTGGAAGAGGTACTTATCTGCTAGTTGGCTTGCAAATGTTTTTGGTGTTAAGTAATGGGTTGAGGATGACAAGCTTAGGTAATGGTCAATTATGACCCTGATAGAGTTATGGCCTTAATTTGACGTTGGTAAGGGTGCAAGTGGGATAGTACTGCTAGCTAAGCTGCTAGTCCACCCAGTGTCCAAGAAAGCGGTAAGCGTAAGCGGAGCGGAAGGCCACAACTTAGAGCAATGGCCGCTTAAGCGCAGCTTAACCGGGATTAAGCGTTTTTTTAATTGGCCAGAATTTGGCTGTTTTTGAATAATATGCACAAAACAGGAAATATAGCACATAGGTAATTGAAAATCTGAAATAGCATATAAGGTTGAGGTTCAGTGGTTCACACACCACAACAAATAGCCAAATAACACATAAGAATACAGTTCAGTGGTTCACACAGCAAGCATAAATTCATAATATTGTCTTAGCATAAGATAAATGGCAGCTGCAGCAACCAAGCAGCAGCAGCAGCCCCAGCCCAGCCCAAGCAGTAGTTCAGATCCAGTCCGGGGACGAGGAGGAAGAATGCGTGGGGCTGAGTTGGATGCAGAACAGGAGCAGCCGCCACTGGAGCTCTCGCTCCCCTTCAAACCCAGTAAACCCTAGCCAAACATGCCAGTATTGAGCCAGGCTTTTATAACCCCCTTTTACCTCTAGCCCGTGGCCGCTTCCTCGCTTTTTTAACGCTTAAGCGCGCTCAGCACTAAAGCGGCCGCTAAATCCCGCTTTTTTCACTTAACGCTAAAACTACCGCCTAGGGCAGAAGCGAAGCGTTTAGCTGTCGCTTAGCGCTTAAGCGCGCTTTAGCGGCGCCTAAAAACGCTTTCTTGAACATTGAGTCCACCCCGCAAAAAATCTAGCTAATTCTCCCACAGGCAACAACTTTGTGCATGCGGGTTCACGCGAGTGTGACCGCGCTGCCCGACGGGCTGTCGCATATTCCGCAAAGATGCAAAACCTACTCCTTGTTCAAGAAAAAACTCATGCAGCCATGCTTCACACTTAGCTTCAGATATCTTTTGAGACTACAAGAGCGCCACACGATGCGCTGGGGTCTTTGGTTCATCGATGACGGCGTGCCGCTCAACCCGCATGCCGCGACATAAGTTGAGGTTCCTGAACCTTCGTCCACGCTGTCATTTGGTTGACGGTCTTCGCGATAGTGGCATTGATCGACCGGAACATCTGGAGCAGAGCAAACCTGGATTGCAGCTGAGCGAACCTCAAATGTTAGGAGCTGCATGCGTTAGTTCAGTTGCGTCTGAAGTCAGTCCACCAAATTACATGAACTGGTTGCATGCGGTGTATGCGGGATGGCACATTAACCCGCAATAACTAGCGTGGGATTATGCAAACCACCGAATCAACCCGCATAAACCAGGAGATCCCACTTAAGCAAGTGCGGGCTAGCTGCAACCCGCCGCGCTTGCATCCTGAGACGTTGGTAACAAAAGGGCGGCTATATCTAACTCCATTCCATTCCATCATCAACTTCTTGAGGTCCTGGTATAACTTGGTACTCCTTAGGTGGATGGAATAAAGGGGTGTCCCGAGCTGCTTGTAGATTCCACTTCTTCAAACCTTCTTGCTTAGGTATGCAGATGCGACCTCCAAACCAAAGAACACATTGCTTGTCTTCTGAGAATGCAAGGCTTTCCCATGCTTGATCATTTAGTTGATCTCTCATATACTTCTTGATTCATCCTAAGAGTGGGTCTAATCTCGAAGTTAGCGAGATAGACACTATTGACTAGCTCTACACCAAACTTCTTGAAGCCTTCATGTAGCACTAATTGCTTCACTTGGTCAAGGCAGAACAGGGACACGACTTCCTGCTAAGGGTATCCACTATGACATTGGCCTTATCAGGGTGGTAATGGATATCAACGTCATAGTGGTTGATCAAGTCTACACCAAACTTCTCGAAGCCTTCATGTAGCACTAGTTGCTCTGCTTGATCAAGGCAGAACAGGGACACGACTTCCTGCTGAGGGTATCCACTGCGACATTGGCCTTATCAGGACGGTAATGGATATCAACATCATAGTGGTTGATCAAATCTACCCATCTAGAAGAAGACATACTTAAAGCATGCACTACTACCGCTATTTCCAAATCATGGGTAGGGCAATTCTATTCATGAGGACGTAGTTGCCTTGAAGGCTATGAAGATTCCTTCTTGCATCAAGACGGAAAGAAGTCCATGATTAGATGCATCACAATAACTTCAAAACTCGTATAAATATCTAGGGTGGCTATGGACGGATCAGTGGTTAACCTCTTCTTAAACTTTCAAAAGCTCACTTCACACTTGGGCCTTCATTCAAACTTCTTATCTTTGTTCAAGAGTTAAGTCATCGGTGATGCTTGAAAGTCTTCACAAATTTGCGATAATAATTCTTGACTCCGATGGAACTTCCGACTTCCATTTGTTTGGCCTTCCAGTTGGTTACGGATTCTAATCCTTGATGGCTCTATTGACAAACCTTCTATGGAGAAAACATGTCCTTGGAACCCTACTTCTTTTCGCCAAATTTCATACTTCTTGAACTTGGCATATAACTGGGTTTCTTGAAGTTATCCAAAATCATTCTCAGGTGTTTCTTATGATCTTCCTCGGAGGGAGAATAGACAAAGAGGTCATCAATGATGATAACGACAAACTTGTCCAAGAACTCATAAACATGGTCATGATATTCATCAAATAGGTGGAGTATAAGGGTTAGTCCAAGGGCCATATCCTTACTTCATATCCAGCTCTGTTGTCACGGCTCAACAAAGTCATGGCTTGGTGAGACTAAAGGTTGCCATAAAACACTTAAACACCATTTCTCTAATACCAACTGTTATGAGGCTCACATGGACCAACTCCCACAAGGTTATCATATACCATCAAAAT